TGATTAATGTTTGAAAGTCAAGTTAACTTAATCAGAAAAAATGAGAATTACCTTCACTAGTTAAATTTGAAAGCTAAGTGACCCATGTCTGCACCACAACCACCACATCTTCACCCCAACCACCACATCTTCACATCTTCACCACACATCACCACACCCTTCCAATAAACACCACATCACTAGTCTCGCCACACCCACCACACCTTTACCATAACCATCACAACATCACCACACCCTTACCATAACCACCACAATATTACCACATTTTCAACTTAACCACCATAACATCACCACACACTCACCACACCCATCACACCATTACCACCCTCTCACAATACCCAACCACACCATTACCACACTCACCACACTCAAGACACCGTTACCACACCTTCACCCCAATCAAGGCACTATTACCACACTCACCACACCATCACCGCATCCACCACACCATTACCACACATTCACCACACCATTACCATTCTCTCACCACACCCACCACACCATTACCACACTCACCACACTCTCACCACACCATTACCACACTCTCACCACACCCTCACCGCATCCACCACACCATCATCACACAAGAATTTGAGTCTGTAGCTCGGTGGGGCACAAGAACTTCTGGTTACATTTATGTTCCACCAAGACACAAAAGCTTCCAATCTCTCGTAAAACAGGATCACCAGCAATCTACACCAACACTTTCTTTCAGGGGCATTCTCTTTGTACCAGCCGCCAGAGTCAATACCTTCGATCTTCATGTACACACGCTGGAAGAACTCATTTCTAACATTGCAAGGAAGACATCCGTACAAATCTTTGTTTTCTAAACTTCCCTCCTATGGTTTCTAAGCCCCCCACCTTTGTTCTCTAATTTCTAGCTTCCTTAAGAACCGATCCATGGCAGTTGTTGTCGAGTGATCGATTTCTCGCTTTCTCTACCAATAGTGGTGTCCCACAGGGTTCTGTTCTTTCACCTACTCTCTTCCTTATTTTTATCAGTGATTTACTTCTCACTACGACTAATTCTATCCATTCTTACGCTGATGATTCTACTCTTCACTCTTCTTCACATTTTTCCCTTTCCCCCAATTCTCAAACTAGATCTGTTTCTAGAGCTGATATCATTTCATCTATCAATGCGGACCTGTGCAGCATCTCCGAACGGGGAGGTAGAAACTTGGTTAAATTAAATAGTAATAAAACACCGTATTTACCAATAGCGCTTTCCAAAATAAAAGATCTCTCACCAATCACAATTCAGGATGCAATCATTCTGCCAAATTCTAAAATAGATATGCTAGGCCTCACCATTTCCTCTAAAATGTCATGGAAGCCACACATCCATAACATAGCTAAAGCTGCCTCCCGAAAGCTGGGAATGCTGTACAGATGCCGTAGCTACTTCACTCCTGAGCAGTTGCTTCAAGTTTATAAGGGATTCATTCGTCCTAACTTGGAGTACTGCTCTCATATCTGGGGTGGCTCTTCTTTTGTCCATCTGTTAGATAAGGTGGAATCAAAGGTATTTTGTCTTATTAACTCTCCACATTTAGTTGATAATCTCTCTTCCCTTTTTCTTCTCCGCAATGTTGTTTCACTCTCTCTCTTTTACAGGTACTTTAACGGACATTGTTTGGTGGATTTGGCATCCTGTGTACCACCGGCAAGGCCGTGGGCTCGTAACACTCGCCTTGCCCGCGGTGCCCACCGTTTCTCTGTGGATGTCAGTCACACTAGAATAACCCGTTATATTACATCCTTCTCCCCCCACACAGCCAAACTGTGGAATGCTTTGCCTTCTTCTGTTTCAATACTCCTATAATGTCCCACTTTAGAAAGCTGGTTTTCCGGCATCTTCGTGGTGTAAATTAATACACAAAGTCTTTTTCTCTTCTATTTTTTATTTCTTTTTACTCTTAGTTTTTCGTCGATGACCTGTGCCCAAGCGGGCTATTCCCTTAAAAAAAAAAAAAAAAAATCCTTGTACTGCTCTCAAATGTAGGATGGCTCACTTCATCAATGACTAGCCCCTCACATCTTCCATTCAGCCCATCTATATATCATACAATGCATCTCTAGAACTTTTCTCTTCTATCGCTATTTCTTCGATCAATGTAAATTCCAATGAAACGAAATCCATGGATATATGAGCACTAGGGGTTGGGTGTAAATGGGACTGCCCAGTATGGGCCAATAGGCCCGCTGCAGTTTCCTCCATTCTTATGTTCTTATGTTCATCTACCACACAGCGTCGCTTAATATCCTCACACCGCTACTCTGTTCATGCTGCCTTTAGTGAAATTCCCTTATTATTCACCTCTTCTACGGGCACTTGTCTGCAACAGAATTTCCTTGCCTCGCACAGCTCTCCGTCAACCATCTACCTACTGTACAGGTCTTCAGATGGAGGATATATATTAAACTTCTTCTTACAAGGAAATATAATTGTTTATTTCTTATATTTGGTGTATTAAGCAATCGTAAGCAATCGTTTCAGAAGACATACACTCCCATGTTTGCCTCCCCTACGACAACGTCTGCAGGCGGGCGCCAGTTGGTCACTGGTTCATTGTCCCTGTCGGAAGGACCTAAACTTGTCTTCGGTACAGTGATATACATTTTTCACGGGTGATGTTTAACACAAATTGAACGGCCGCTTCAGACGTGCCCGTGAGCACATTGGTGTCCTCAGTGATTATTATCCTTAATAGCATAACTGGCAATGAATAGGGAGCATACGAAAAATTGGAATGAGGAGATGCGCAGGAGATCAGGAGGAAATAGGCAATCACCACCATCAATCACCCGACGCCAGGGTACACGGCTGATCCCTGTGGCAGTGACACTCCCCTTACAAGTTTATGATGGTGACGGTGACATACTGTGGTGGTGGCAGTGTGGTTGTTAATATGGTGGTGGCAGTGTGGTTGTTTATGTGGTGGTGGCAGTGTGGTTGTTTATATGGTGGTGGCAGTGTGGTTGTTTATATGGTGGTGGCAGTGTGGTTGTTTATATGGTGGTGGCAGTGTGGTTGTTTAGGTGGTGTGTGTGGTTGTTTATATGGTGGTGGCAGTGTGGTTGTTTATGTGGTGGTAGTGTGGTTGTTTATTGGTGGTGCAGTGTGGTTGTTTATATGGTGGTAGCAGTGTGGTTGTTTATATGGGTGGTGGTGTGGGTTGTTTATATGGTGGTGGCAGTGTAGTTGTTTATATGGTGGTGGTGTGGTTGTTTATTGTGGTGGTGGTTGTTTATATGGTGGTGGCAGTGTGGTTGTTTATATGGTGGTGGCAGTGTGGTTGTTTTGGTGGTGGCATGTGGTTGGTTTTATATAATGGTGGTGGCAGTGTGGTTGTTTATGGTGGTGGCAGTGTGGTTGCAATATGGTGGTGGCAGTGTGTTGTTTATATGGTGGTAGTGTGGTTGTTTATATATGGTGGTGTGGTGTTTATATATGGCAGTGTGGTTGGGTGGTGGCAGTGTGGTTGTTTATGTGTGGCAGCAGTGTGTTGGTTGTATGTGGTGGTGGCAGTGTGGTTGTTTATATGGTGGTGGCAGGTGTGGTTGTTTATGTGGTGGTGGCAGTGTGGTTGTTTATGTGGTGGTGGCAGTGTGGTTGTTTATGTGGTGGTGGCAGTGTGGTTGTTTATGTGGTGGTGGCAGTGTGGTTGTTTATATGGTGGTGGCAGTGTGGTTGTTTATATGGTGGTGGCAGTGTGGTTGTTTATATGGTGGTGGCAGTGTGGTTGTTTATATGGTGGCGGCAGTGTGGTTGTTTATATGGTGGTGGCAGTGTGGTTGTTTATATGGTGGTGGCAGTGTGGTTGTTTATATAGTGGCGGCAGTGTGGTTGTTTATATGGTGGTGGTGGCAGTGTAGTTTGATTTAGGGCGTGGTGGTGGGGCGTGGACAACACTTGAGACCAGAAGAAAGTGATCACCACTCACCCTCACCACCACTCACCCTCACCACCACTCACCCTCACCACCACTCACCCTAACCCCACTCACCCTCACCACCACTCACCCTCACCACCACTCACCCTCACCACCACTCTACCGCCCGTTAACTCCTGCATCTCCCCTGCCAATTATTGTGATACTGGCGGCGTTAATGGCTCAGATTACACGTTGCTCTGATTTATTGTCCGATAGTAACACCAGGAGTCGCAGACACACATGACCCTCCATTATGCATTTATACTGGCTGAGGAGGAGGAGGTGAAGCGTGGCCACGACGCGACGGGGTGAGGGAGGAAGAGGGAGTGTGTAATCATGTCCTGACAGTCCCTGACTCCCATGAAAACTCGGGTCAGAGTGCTGGCCATATATGTTTAAAGATCAAATTTGATTGTAATTGATGGTCCTGTTAAGAACCTTCACCTGTCATCACTGAACTTCTCATATTTCCTTGTGGACGCCTCTATTGTTTTACCTTTCGCCTTGCGCAGGATACGAGAGGTGGCCAGTAAACTAACACCCGTACCTGTGTGTAGGTGGTGAGTGTATCACACGATGACACTCCTCTATACCTTTACTGATACAAGATATAATATAAAACAGAGAGGAGCAGGGAGTGAAGGTGACTGGTGATCAAGTGTCTGTAGAGGATGTGGTAAAAGGGAAGGAGTTGCAAGAACGGTCAAGATCAAGAGGAGAAACAGTGAGTCGGTGTTCGGGCTTCGTGTATGAGTCAATTCTATGTGTGGTTTAAGAGTAACTACATAATTACGTGAGTGTTGACCCCAGCAGTTACTAGTGGTGACGTCCTCACCCACACCCACGCTCACCACATCCTGGTGCCTCGCAAGATTAATTTAACTCTTTGTCGTTATCTTGTACTGGTTCAACCAAGTAAAGAAATTACCCGCTTTCTTCCGAGTCGAATCAATTCAGTTGAATTTTTATTCAGTAAAAGTGTCAAAGTATCATATATATGTGTGTGTATACTGTACGTGTGTGTGGATGTGTGTTACACTAAATAGGGATAATTGCCGATTAAGGCTCAAAAAGCAACTGACGTGTTTGCCGAATAGGGAGGCGGAAGGCAATGTGGAGACGGGGAGCTGTGGGCAGGCAGGAGGCAGTGTGGAGGCTGTGAGCTGTGGGCAGACGGGAGGGTGTGCGGGGGGAGCTGTGGGCAGGCGGGAGGCAGTGTGGAGACGGGGGAGCTGTGGGCAGGCGGGGCAGTGGGGACGGGGGAGCTGTGGGCAGGCGGGAGGCAGTGTGGAGACGGGGAGCTGTGGGCAGGCGGGGGCAGTGTAGGGCGGGAGCTGTGGGCAGGCGGAGGCAGGGGGGAAGACGGGAGCAGGCAGGCAGGGGAGGCGGGGAGCAGTGGGCAGGCGGGAGGCAGTTGGAGACAGGGAGCTGGGGCAGGCAGGAGACAGGGGGAGACGGGGAGCTGGGGCAGACGGGAGGCAGGGGGGAGGCGGGGAGCTGTGGGCAGGCGGGAGGCAGTGTAGAGGCGGGGCGCTCAGGGGCAAACGGGAGGCAGGTGGAGGCGGGAGCTGGGGCAGACGGGAGGCAGTGTGGAGGCTGTGGAGCTGGGGCAGACGGGAGAGGGAGGAGGCAGTGTGGGAGGCGGGAGCTGGGGCAGACGGAGGCAGTTTGGAGACAGGGAGCTGTGGGCAGGCAGGAGGCAGTGTGGAGACGGGGGGCTGTGGGCAGACGGGGAGGCAGGGGGGAGGCGGGGAGCTGGGGCAGGCGGGAGGCAGTGTGAGGCGGGGCTGGGGCAAGGGAGGCAGGGGAGGCAGGTGAGTGTGGGCAGACGGGAGGCAGTGGGAGGCGGGAGCTGTGGGCAGACGGGAGGCAGTTTAGAGCAGGGAGGCAGTTTGGAGACAGGGAGCTGTGGGCAGGCAGGAGGCAGTGTGGACGGGGGGCTGGGGCAGACGGGAGGCAGGGGGAGGCGGGGAGCTGTGGGCAGGCGGGAGGCAGTGTAGAGGGGGCGCTGGGGCAGGCGGGAGGCAGTGTAGAGGCGGGGAGCAGGGCAGGCGGGAGGCAGGTAGAGGCGGGCGCGGGCAAACGGGAGGCAGTGTGGAGGCGGAGCTGGGGCAGACGGGAGGCAGTGTGGAGACGGGGGAGTGGGGAAGCAATGGCAGTTGAAGGTCAGAAGCTACAAAGCGGCGGGTCAGGGCCAGAGTCAGAGTAGGTCTATATCCTCGACACTCCTTCCACCCATTGGGGAAGTACTAGACGGGGAGATCTACCTCACTCTACAGGTGTTCTGGGTGTGCACCAACATGCCTCTGACCCTACCACTCCACGCTCTCCTGCCCGGGTATGTTTTTTGTGTATTCATAACAGCGACGCCATGACTGATACCCTGCTCCCCCGCGAGGAATCAGGTGGATGAAAAAGCTTTTAGAGTTAAACCTTAGAGTCTCCGCTGCCCCACGATACACGAGTGAAATAAACCTTACGACATACCTGAAAATAATTATTAGTAATGTCGAATGTGTAAAAAAAAAAAAAAAAGTCATGAGATCCTTTAATGCTGACCCTTGTTTTGCCTGGACGGTGTGTCAGCCCTGATTAACGACCTCATTTCCCAGGGCATATAGTCTTGGTGCCTGGGAGGTTTGACGGCAGAGCGGGGTAGGTGTGACTGCTAAAAGGAGGAGGAGGAAGTAACAGTGCCTCCAAAGGGGAATTTTAGTAGTGGCGGTATTGTTGGTGAAGGTGGTACTTCTGCTGACAGTGTTAGTGGTGGTGGTGGTGGTGGTGGTGGTGGTAGTGATGGTTATTGTGGTGGCGGCGGTGAGCGACAGTCGCCAGTGCCTGCATGAGGTGTGAGTCACGGAGGGAGGGTGTGAGTCACCTCGGCCATTAATTATGATTTATCTTCCTGCCGTGTACCATTCAAAACACGCAGCATATTTTGATAGAAGTTCTGGCGCGTCTGGTCGTGTTGTGGAGTGTAGGGTAGTTATCAGTGTTGGTGAGGTGTGCCTCTGGCGGAGACGACTCTCATTTTGTGGGCTCAGTAAACATCTTATGACTTATCGAAATGCTAAAGCTATTTTTGTTTTAAAAATGGGTCTACAAGGAACAAGAGCTATTCTCGAAGAATTTTATCTTATTTCAAAAGGGTAGTTAAAAAGAAAGAGAAATCAGCGACGTTGACACAATATCTTGTTGACTGTATGTGTCCCCGACAGTGTAACTGGTGGGAGGTGAGAAGGGGCAAGGTAGAAACGAGGGAAGAGGTCTCTTTGCCTTCCCCGTCCCTTGCACTTATCTACATGACCACACTGACAGAGGCAACTACGGTGAATGTGTCTGCATATGTAGCTTATGTATGCTTAAACGACATATACATCTTTTTTATACATTGTATGACTGCATATTTCTATACGTATATTCCTGAAAGTGTAACTGCAGCATCTATAACTTAATATTTGTGTTTTTCTGTTAAAAAGAACGACATAAATGTTTTAACTTTATAACAGCGACTGGGATAGTAAACGTTAACAGAGGGACGCGGTAACTGTAATGAATTCTTGGAAAATAATTAAGGTTGAATAAGAGAGTCATCATGTGGGCGAACATGACAAATGCGAGGCTTCTTCTCATATGGTCACTGTGATTATATTTCTTTCTGACTAGAATATCCGGATTTTGGGGCAAAGTTTCATACGCAATACAAGTCAATTAATTATTGGCACTCGTGGACATATAATGTGAAGGAAGGAAGTAAGAGGAGGGTGAGGCGGAGAGTGAGGGAGGCTGGAGGTAAAGGAAGATGAGTAGGAGGAGGTAAGTGAAGGAGGCTGGAGGTAAAGAAAGAGGATGAGTAGGAGGAGGTAAGTGAGGGAGGCTGGAGGTAAAGGAGGAGGATGCGTAGGTGGAGGTAAGTGAGGGAGGCTGGAGGTAAAGAAGGAGGATGAGGGCTGGTGGTCCTGGGCGTCTCGACGATTCAACACTGATCATTGTACGTCCACAGTACAGTGCTGGGGAGAAGCAGGCGGTCACATAAATAAAATACAGCATGACAGGCAGGACGGCATAACGTTATACAGAGAGAGAGAGAGAGAGAGAGAGAGAGAGAGAGAGTTATCTTTTCATGCTTTCTTTAGCTCTTAAGAATACTACGACACAGCCGTGCAAACAAGAGGCTTCGCAATAGTCACAAACCGCAACCTTAACTGGACAATAACCAACTCACACAACTTGATAATTCCCCGAGATAACACACATAACTCACGAGGCAAGATGAAGCGGGAGAGAGGTGGGTAGCGGCACCCCACCACCACGAGGCCTCCCCGGGCCCCAGGGATACTGCCTACAGTTATCTTGGTGCAGTGCGACCCTCGCCCCTCCTCTCCTGCCACACATGTGTTTTATTGTCTGCTCCAGCTCATGTTTATTACTCTAATTCATTTTGACAATGTGGAAACAAAGCATCATTTTTCATGGTAATTTGGGTTATTTTTGTAGAGTCCCAAAGCCTGAGCGTCACTTATGTGGAATTGGCCTGGTCGACACACAACTGTCATTAGAACTGGGGGAGGCGGCAGCGGTCGTTCCTGACTGGTGGCAGTGCTTTTCCTCTCTTTAGAATGGTAACGACGTTTTAACCACCAGCTCTAGTGACCTGCAAATTGGATTTTCTGTAAAATCCCCTCATCCCCCCCCCCCAAAAAAAAGTTTAATAGATATTGGCAGTGGTGGCGAAACGTCTTACATGCAGCAGATGCCGCAGTGCTGGTCCACGTTTACACTGGGCACCATCTTTTGTGAGGTCTTACATGATTTAAAGAGATTATCTGTTGAGGAGCCACCACAAGGTCGAGGGTCAGGGTCAGGGGAAGGGGGAGAGGGATCACGAGGAGAGGGGAGCTTCAGGAGGGAGGGATGTGCTGCAGCTGGGCGTGGGAGTGTTCCTGTTGGTTACGTTCACTAAAGCCCTGACTTAGTTGTCAGCTTCTCATACACCGTCAGCTCCTATGCTTTCCTCCCTCCAGTTTTACAAATATTTTCTTTCTTTTACTCATATATTTTTAAATAACGGCACCACCTCCTTTAATTCCCTGGTACAGCAGTGCCTCTTATGAGTGTATTCTGACAATGCAGGTTAAAGTTAATAATTTACAACGTTTGTCAGGATACAAAACACAACAGACGCATAATCTCAACCCGTTCATCACTTCATCATGGCTTGGACGGAAGTTCTTGTTGTTGGCTTCGGGATGAATAAACTTGTGTGGTTTCCGCGGCTTAACTGAATCGTTTAAGTAAAGGTCCAGATACCTGGGTGAATCATTTTTTTTTTCATCGCGTAGCTGAATCATTAGGCATACATGTGCCTCTACTCTCCAACTTATTTACTGCGAGTGTTACCTGTTTTCTCGTTTACTAACTTTCTGGCGCCCCCATGAACAAGGCCTCTGCTCTACAACCTCAACTCTTAATTCCCAGTAATATACAGGCAAAAATCATGTTTGTTTTAATGTTTTCGCTATTTCCCGCAAATTGTTCTTTATTTACTGTGTATCCCATCATCATGTCGATTGTTACTCCTACATCTTTTTCATTACATCAAACTTCACCACAGTACTGTACTCGTTTCTGTCAAATGTGAAAGCATACTGTTAGAAATCACAATTAACAAGGATACTATTCACATCGATGTAGAAGACCAGAAAGCAGAGATTTCCTGCTGAAAACACGATCAAAGAACTCTATGTATATCCAGCTAATGTATTTGACCATTACATGAAAGTGCTACCAAACTTTTTGTGGTCACTTATCCACGCATCTGTATATAATGGATTGGATATTGTTTTGTCTGCAGTCTCACCTTCCTCGGGTCTCATACAGTCTAGTCACGCACTGCGGAACCCATCCCATAAGCTGCTCATAAATTCGTCGACGAAACCCACTATTTATGCTGATAACAGAAGTGAAGCAACTCTTATTTACCTCCTTCCTTTCATCATGTAATTCAACCTCATTTTCCACCAAGTCACAAGACGTAAATAAAAATAAGACACATGCAAACATAAAATTCAACACCTGCTGAAACCTGCAAGACAACAACACACTGCAAAAAATAATAAACAGGTTATAGGAAACATCAAACCTTCATACATAAACTTAAAGTAACAAAAATTCCCTCGGGTCCTATTTTTTTTCTATCGTAAATGCCACTAACCTGCAAAGCAGTTATTTCGATCTGTTAATCCTCTCACTACTTTCAGATCAAAGGAATATATAAAATCTCTGGTCTCTGTACTGTATTAATTTTGAACTTGAGTCATAACCTAAATGATCCTCGTCCCACTCAAGCTACTGCGACAACCTACACCTTTGACTCATCTTAATATTTAACACAGTCATTTCTCAGCTGTGGTTTACACTCGCAGCAAATCTCTCGCCTCGACAGCTTTCTTGTACAAACGTGACCCAGAACTTTTCGCAGTCCTCTTTAAGTTTCTTGGCGTTTTGTTCTTAAACACCATTTTCTCATTTCATGCTCACTGGCCGGAACCTAATCCAGACACCCTGCCTCCCCAGTTATCATTCTGACAGTTTACACGTATCACTACTTCCCTTGTACCTTAAATCACATGATCTAATTATCGATAACCAGATTTCTTTTTTTATATACTGGATTTTCTTTGTTGGAACTTGTACTCATAATACAAACTCTTAATAACCTTCTAGGATCTTTATTTGTTCCTTTGAATTCACTGAGGAGCCCTGATGCAGTGTTGTAGTGAGATCTTTTTCTGATCTTTCTATCATATTCCCTCTTTTTCACCTAAGTATTCATAACGAGAATGTTCAATCTGTGTTTACTTTCCATAAATGTTAAATTCTTTGTTTTAGTACGTTACTAAGTTTCCACAACTAATAACCATTTTCAGATCCATAAAGTGAAGCATCACATGCAAAGAAAAATAGTGTTATTCTGACCCTCAGGCTTGTTACCTCTGTGGCGTCTGTATAACTTTACTAAAGTTGAAGAAGCACAAAAAAAAACCACACAAAAAGTTTCTTCTCTCCTCTTCAGTATTAACCCAAGTACTCAAACACTCGTGTCA